AATTATATATTGGGTTTTTAATTGTCTGGGGCTAAATCAAATAACTAAATTTATCATATACCTAGCTAATAATTGTCAAAATAATCCGATTAAGTTAAACCCTTTCACTAGATCGCTAAATTTAGGACCATTCATGATCGAAAAATGAAAAAATTTGACGAAAACAAAATTTTATCGTCTAAATGTTTATGTTATTATTAAGAGGAAAGATCAAAGTATTTTTTTTTAATTATTTTTTAAAATGTTTCCTTCTTTTTAGAACATTCTAATTTTGATTAAAAAACCTTGTTTCTCTTTGTATCACCAGAACTAGTAAAATAACATACAATTTTTTTAGCGATTTTTTTTGTTTGTTTTGTTTTTTTACTTTTCTGTGTGACAGACATTAATTTTGAAAATCTTGCAAAAATAAAAATAATTGTCGGATTTTGATGAAACTTTCATAAACTATTCACAAATGATAGAACTTATTATAGATATGTTTTCCTTTTTTAAAGTCATGGCAAAATTTTTTTTTTTTTCATTAATTATTTCCACACAATAATAACACACCTACCTAATTGTACGAAAATTCTATAATTTCAATTTTGGGAAGATTAGTGATTATATTAGATAAAAGCACAAGGCTTTGAGGAAACCAAATCATGTTTTTTTTTTTTTATAGTTAGACCACCTCTACTTGAAAATCATCTCTGAACTGTAACATACAAAACTCAATAAAACAAAAATATTATTTAATTTTAAAAGCTTTTAATTGCTTTTATTTATTTTAATGAACATGGACAATATTGTCTGAGAGAAAAAAGATATTTCGATGAAAAATGAATTTTTAAAACAATTATATGTTATTTCTGAAATATTTTATTATTTTTACATTAAATGTTGTTAATTCTTCTAAAATTAGGGAAAAGTTTATAAAATTTAATGAATGTTGTTATTAAGTAGATATATATTTACAGATTATAATTTCCAAAGCTTCTTACAAACTAATGAACACCAGCATATAAAAAAAATATAAATTTGTGTCAATAATAAGACTGTAAATCAAATCTACGGAAGACCAGAAGTATCATGTGTGCAATAAAAAAAAACATCACGTGGATTGAGTTTCTGTCTAGTATTTAACTTAAATACTGAATTTTTAATACAATTATTTGTTATTTCTTTAATTATAATAGATTTTTACATTTAAGTTGTTAAAATATTATAAAATTAGTTAAAATGTGCATTCAGATTTTTTTTTAAATGTCCTTTTGAGATAGATTTTTTTTTTTGCAAAACTCGTGTGGAGAATAAAATTTAAATTAATTTGATTTTCATTTTCAACTGAGAAAGGGTACCTATAAATTATTAGATATCATCTTATGAAATTTAAATTTGTCTTATTTTTTTTTTGTAAATATTTTCCAAAAATAAATTAAATGTGAAAGCTTTTTCAAAAAAAAAAATAGAGGTAAAGTTTTTGTTAACTTAAATGTAAATAATTTGTTCATTTAAACTTCTCTCCTTCCGTAGAAGGAATTATCCTCAAATAATCAAACGTATGTCATGAAAATGTCTTTCACTTGTCAAGTGTTTATTGACCTGTTTTGTTTTATTTTCAAAATACATCTTTTCGGCACAGAAACTAAGTTAAGCTTGTTTCAAAATATTTTAAACATTATAATTTCTGATTTTCTTAAAATAAGTTTTGAAAAAATTATAAATTATAATTAATTTTTAAAAGACTTTCAAATTGAGATTTTCCTTTTTTTTTTTTTTTTTTTATAAAATGGAAAAAAATGGTTGACATGAGTGATTATCTGTCAATTTTGCTGACTAAAAAAACAAGATTTTTAACAAAAATTTTGAATGTGCTATGAACAATTACAAAATGTAAAAAAAATACCCCCAAAATACTTTAATCTTTCCTCTTAATAATAGCATAAACATTTAAACAATAAAGTTTTGTTTTCGTCAAGTTTGGCATCTTTTTCATCATGCTATACTTTTTTTAGTGATCTCATGAAGGTACCTAACTTAACACATTCACCAAAAGAACTTGTCCGCCATCAATCAATCCTCCATTTATTACCTTAATACCTCATATACTCAGAGGACCTACAGAAACGCACCCCATGACATGAAAATTTGAAAATTTCATGATTTTTTTCACTTTTTAAAAAAAAAAAAAATATTTTTATACATAAAAATTTATGAATGATGAAAGGGTGGGGAGGAAAAGATCCCCCCCAAAAAAAAAACTAAAATATAAAACAAACAAAAGAAACAAACCTGATGTTAGTTGGACTCACAAAAAGAGAAGTCAAGAGGCTCTCTCGCTAAGAGAGAGGGAAGAAAGGATAAAAGAAATATGGCCATGGAGAGAGGGGGAAAAAAGCTGATCCAGTTGAGATGAAGAGAGTAGGGGCCAAAAAACAAATTGGGGAGGTGGGAATCTCGACATGGATCCTAACAAAAGATGCAACCAGGAACAGGCTGGAAACAGTGCTTACTTGCATTAACTAGGTACACAAAAGTGATCTAACCTAACCAGGGGAGGGCTCAAAGGAAAAAATCCTGATATGATGTAGGTGGACCTAAAAAAGAAAATCAAGGCTAGCCCTGTTCATGCAAACCAAGCTCATTGCAATCACCCACCATTCGCTGAAGACTGTCAAGACCAACTCTTTCCTATCAGTTCTAATCTTCATCTTGAGCTGGTGCTCAAAGAATCGAATCAGATCCTGATGCAAAAGACAGCCACCTTGCAAGACTTCCTCCTGTCACCTCATCCAAATCACTATTCGGGCCGTGGCCAGCAGCAATAGAAACACCATTCATTTCACCCTGGAATACAGGGGCGACACATTGTCACATGTGTATGCACAATCGATGAGCACAAGCTTTTCAGGAGCAATATGAGCCGTCATGGTCCCATAGGGGGCAGACCCGAGGACAATGGTAGAAGGCGTGCTCATCTGTTTCCTTCAGACCAAGGTCAAATCATTCGCAGTCTGGCAAATCCTCTATGCCCCATATGTAGGCTATGTCATTGAGAAGTAGCCTATTCTGAACCAGTCACCAGGTAAGCAAAAACTCGGGATTGCTAAGGTAATCTGTGAAATTGGCACCCAAGACCAAAAGGATCGAAGCTCTTCCCCTGACATGTTGAGCCACTTACATAGTGGAACCTTCATGGCATTCTGATGTCAGGAAAACAGTTTCAAAGTGGTGGTTCCACACCTTTAGGTAGCCCCCCCCTCATGTCCCTTATGCAGGCAATCACACCCAGTGCCTCCAGGAAGTTGCAGGGAAGCAGTCTTCAACAGATTTGCTATCTACAGTAGGCAGTTTAAATATGAGCCCTAATAGGGCTTTTTTTTCCAATGGGAAAGGTCCTTCTCCAGTTCCTTCCTGTCCACTCTGCAAATGTTGTCATGGCCAGGGAAGCATTTTTTCTTTTTCTTCTTCTCCCTAGCAGGGTCAGGTGAGGAAGAAGTAAAAGTGTGAGGAGGAGAGTGGACATTGAACTGGCCGGCATGTGCCTCTATTGGTTTTCTTCTTCTCCTTCCTTATCCTCTTTCGTAGTTCTCTTTAGATGAACAGTGAAGCGGAGGCATTTCCTCCTCCTCCTCTATGTCTGATTCTGGTCTTGGCCTCTTTTTGGGTTGTAGCTATTACTTTTTTGGAAGGTGCTTCTGTTTGCTGCTCCTGTTTTGGGCGCTGCTTCTCTTTGGGTTTTTCTTGTTGCCACGTCTTCTGTTGTTGCTGCTGCTGATTCTTCTGCACCTCCTTGGGCCCCTCCTGTGGTGGTGGTGGTGGTGGTGGATGTCGCTTTTCCAGCTTTTGGGAAGAAGGCATGCTTGTCGTCTTTCACCCTCTTTTTACTTCTTTCCGGCCACCATCAGAGTCCTTCTCAACTGCTACTTTCACTGTCTCTGCTGCCGTCATTGCTGTTTTCGCCGTTGTCGTCGTTGGGTGGCCTCGAGGTTGTGTTATTCCATTCTTTGCAAGTCATGCTTTTGACATGTGCTCCGAGGCCCCACATAACCAACAGTAGGGCCTGTGTCCCTCCAGGACAACCAGCATCCTTTTATCCCGGCACATCAGAATGTGGGGGACTTCCCCCAAAACTCTGGCAAGTCAAGATTACATTACAGTGGCAATGCTGGACTTGCTTGTAACAGCATTGACACCCTCCACTTGGCCATACTTGGCAAAGAAGGCCCCCACACAGTCCTCACTGATGTCCACAGGAACACCATGTACTGTAAACCTTGTCTTTCGGGTGCCCATGTACTCTGTAGTTGAACCGGCCTGGTTGTCAGCTGCCTGGCCTCCTGTTTGGTGACTAGGAGAATGTCCCATAGTGCAATTTTTAGGTTTTTAAGGGCCTCTTCCATAGTTTCCCTGCTTCCCCAATCAATTGTCAACTCTTTACGTCAGAGGTCATCAGGGAAATTGTTCATGTGTTTACAGCATTCAATGCCTCGAGAATAATGAGGAATTTGTTCCTTTAAAAAATTCTTCATATTTTGTCCTTTCATTGGCACAGTACACTGCATCTTTTTTCTTCGACCCAAGTCGTTTTCTTCACCTCGCTGGTTACTGGCAGAGATTCGTCCAAGTCACTCTTTGGCAGCACTAAAGTAGTGCTGCCAATGTATTTTTATTTTTTCCTTTTTCTTCAAAACTTTTTTCAATACAACAAAAAACAAATAAAGAAAAAAGGAACCAACAAACTAAACAAAATTCAACAAAACTTGGCTTTGCCAAAAACAAGTCACACATGAAAACAAAAAGAATAAGAAAAACAAAAAACTAAAGTGAGGTGGAGGGGGGGGATTACAACTTGGTAACCAGTGACCAAATCTGAGATGCCAGTTCAGGATTGATTACATTACAGACCCTTTATTGAATTTTGTCAAGAATCTTGAGATCTGTATCTTGATATTATTTGTTTAATAAATTCAAAAAAATAAATTTCCTGAAATCTCTAATATTTTTCTTTTTTGTAGATGGCTTAGGGGAATGGCGAACGGATGGATGTAATATTGTCAGCCATTACAGAAATGTCACCACAGTCCATTGTTATCATCTAACCAATTTTGCCATCCTGCAGGTTGTGATATTTGCCTTTTTTTCATTTTCTTTGTTTTCTTTTGATTTCATTTTCTTTTTTGCTCATTTTTTCTTGTCCTTTTGCTTCCATTTTTTCTTGCATATTTTCTTTCTGTTTTTTCCTTCTTTTTAATTTTTCATTCTTTACTTTATCCTTCACATCTTTCATTTTTCTATTTTCTTTGCTTACTTTATTTTTTCCATTTTTAATTCCTGTCTTATTTTATGTCTCTTTGTCTTTTTCCTTCCTGTCTTTTCTTTTTTTTTCATTCCTGTCTTTTCTTTTTTTTTTTCTTCTTCCTGTCTTTTCTTTTTTCTTTTTTTTCCTTCCTGTCTTTTCTCTTTTTTTTCCCATTTTTTCTTACTTTTGTTATCTTTTCCATCTATTTTTTTCCTTCCTATTTTTCCTTCTTTTCTTTTTAAAGAAAGATAAAGAAGAAAAAATGTAGGTGAGGAAAAAAAAAAGTAAGAAGAAAAAAAAGTAAAGAATGAAAAATTAAGAAAAAGTAAGACAGGAAGAAAATAGGAAAGAAAAAATGGAAATAAGGATCCAGATCAATTTTACGACAGCTTTTATTTTTTATTTTTATCTCGTTAAATATTTTAAGATATGGTTTCTCTTTGTTTAAGTATATATCTGCTTGATTTTAAAAAAAAACAAAAAAACAATTGGGAATTAATTTTGTATTTCTTTCCTCTTGACTTTCAGAATTTGACACCAAATCTCCATATTGGATTTATTATGATGGAACCTGTGATTTACTTGGGTAGTTGCGTGTGTGTTCTTTGTACGATGGCCGTCATTATAACCTATATTACCTGTTTCAGGTGAGTAAAGGGTTTGTCATGATATCATCTACATTTACTCAAGATGAAAAATAGTTAATAATTTCTGTCTATTTTGTAATGTTTTTGCATTCTCCACATTCTCTCATAATTATTGAGTCTGATACAAGGCCAGCAAAAAAGGGATCAAATTCATTATCACTGCACTACAGTAAGAGCACTTACACAACTCTGATTTTTTGTGACAATCAAGTCAACTTCCCCTCTCATATTCCCTGTCAGGCACCTGTCTCCTCACCTTCATGACCCCCAGACTTTATAAGCCAACTTACTCTCATAATACCTGTCAGCCATCACCTCACCTTCATGATTCAAGCCTCTACAAGCCGCCTCCCCTCTCATAAAACATGTCAGACCATCTGTCTTCTAACCTTCATAATACCAACCTCTACAAGCCATCTTCCCTTTCATAATACCTGCCAGCCCACCTGTCCCCTCACCTTTATGATCCCAGCCTCTACAAGCTAACTTTCCCACTCATAATACCTGTCAGCTCACCAACATGATCACAGCCTCTACAAGCCACCACTCCTCTCATAAAACCTGTCAACCAACTGTCATAATTCCAACCTCTACACCCCCCCTAAAACCTGTCAGCCTGTCTGTCTCCTTACCTACATGATCCCAATCTCTTGAGGCTGGGGCTTCAGAATATGCTGACTGCACCTCTGCAGAGGGGTAAGACACCCCCCCCTCGAGGTTGATATGACATAAACCAAACTAAACCAGCCTCTACAAGCCACCGTCCTTCTCATAAAACCTGTCAGCCCATCTGTCTCCTCAACCTGATGATCCCAGACTCCTTACGCTAATTCCTCTCATATCCTCAAACATCATTATATTGTTTTGCTGTTTATTTTTTCTTTCCAGATTCATTCGTGTTCCTAAAAAGATGAAACATTCTGTTATCAACCTGAGTATCAGCATTCTTCTTCTCGTCATTGGTTTTACGATGGGCATCAATCGCGTAGACAACCGTCGTGCCTGTCAGATTGTCGGCATTGGCATCCACTATTGCTCTCTCTGCTGTATCTTCTGGGTGACAATCACTTCCAAGTAAGCACACGCACATCATTTTTCTAATTTACAATTTACGCCTTTTGGTACCAAGGCTTTTGCAGTCAAATTTAATCTATATCTATCTACAGCAATAAGTCTGTAGCCTAATGATGAAAAAAAAAACATTTATTTTCACAACAAATATTTTTCAACATAATCTCTTTCTTTAGCAATGCACATCTTAAAAGTTAATCTTAATATATCTTAACTCAGATATATTGTTCTTGAAAAACCTTTGTCCGAAAAGAAAGTCTTTACCCTCAGATGTAATCTTAGTCAGTTATGTGCCATGCGGGATACATGCTTAGGCGATCATGTATCTTTCGATACATGACTGACAAGGCAGATTTTTTCCCACAGTAGTTTGTCATTTCTTTCTGCAGTAGACCAGTCTGTCCTGCTATTTACTCATAGCTGGGGATGGAGAAGAAGAGGATTCATACCTTTCCCAAGGGTATTAGTACGTAAGTGAATGTAATGGATTCGAGTGGAATTCAAACTCTGCTCTCTGATTCCTCAATCCAAGCCACTATCCATTCAGTCAGTTATGTGCCATGCGTGATACATGCTTAGTTGCCATCCAAGGCTATAGAACCCGGTCTGTCCTGCTATTTAGCCATAGCTGGAGGGAGAAGAAGAGGATTCATACCTTTCCCAAGGGTATTTAGCACGTAAGTGAATGTAATGCATTTGACTGGGATTCGAACTCTGCTCTCTGATTTCTCAATCTGAGCTGCTATCCTTTACTACACTGTGCCTCCTCTTAGAATGTTCTTTTAAAAAACAATTTCTTTCAAATGACAAGGCTTGATATTTTTTTGAATTTTGAAAAAAAAAAAATAAAAGAGTCATTATAATTACCACAGCATGGCTGATCTATTCTCTAGCCTTCTTCACATGTACATTCTGTATAGAAAAATTACAAAGAAGGAAAGACTTTTTTTCTTGTTTCTTTCCTTTTGTTATGATGGGCCTTGCTCTGCTTCTGTTTTTGTTAGTATATTGCAGCATGTATTCCCCACAACAGCAAAGTGAGACATTTATAATATACAGGGTAACCCAAAAGTCTGCACACATACATAAAAATGCATATTTTTAAGAATAAATTTTCAACATTTTATTGAATTGGAATATTAACAAATAACATCTTCAATATGATTTCCATCATTTGTGATGCAAAGGTTGATGCGCTTTACAAGATTCATCTGAACCTGATGTAATAACTCCACACTGATGTCAATTTTAGCACATTCAACTCTTTATGCATTCAATCAAGTGTGTTGCATCTGTGGTTTTCATTGAGTACACCTTCTCCTTTAGCATACCCCAGAAAAAGAAGCCAGTTATTTCTTCATTCCACAAAACCATGTTTAATCTCTGGGGGTAAAAAAAATATAGTTAATGAGATTTCTTATGTGTCCAGACTTTAGGGACACCCTATATAATCAGAAGTGTTGCGGACTGGTGATTGTGTTTAAATTGATCAGAAGGAATTTCGAGGCCGTCTTCTACAACATTCGTCCACAACAATTATTTAGAACAAATACTTGGAACAAATCATACAAATAAAGTTAAAAACAAGACAAAAGTTGAATGCATAACAATAACATCAATTTATATACAATTTAAATACAGTGGGTTTAAGATTTGATGGATAAATGAGGATTAGTGTATTTAATTGTGTATTGTAAAATTGTGAATGTTTGGGTGCGTTTGCAGGTATTGATTAGATTTGTTCACAGAATTAAACTGTTTGTTTGATCAACATTAAAAATGTTCGGTGTTGAGGTTGAATCATTAATGTATGTACGTAAGTGTGTTTATACAAATATTCAAAGTTGTTCAGAGTTGCGTACCTTTATCTGCTTGAGAAAAATAGATTGTTAGTTACTGATTACTTGTTATGTTGTGAGAAATATCACCTTGAAAGTATAGTAAGTGAAGTTTGAGAAATTGTTCTAGAGAGAGATAGTGTGTTTGTGGATTGTTGAGTCAGAGAATATTTTTCTGCGCGGCAAAGTCTGAGTTTTGACTGGCGTGGAGTTGATGGGCTTCTCTCTAGGTGAAGAGGTCTGACTCCTGAATTGGACTGAAATTCGTCCTTTTATTTAGTTTGGGAAACCAAAGTAGGCTCCCAGTGGCCTGGTGGGAAAACAGATTTTTGACCATGGATGCACATTGTAGGGTCGTCTCGACCATTAACAAGCCGAGTTTCACAATGTGTGGTGTTGATTGGTCAAAGCTAATTTTTATAGAAGAGTCTATTTTTAACGAGGGTGAGTAGACAAACATTGACGATTCTATAGAAGGATTTATTATCCAAGTTCGGTGGAGTAAGAAAGTTCTTGTAATACGGTTGCAAGTAGAATATTTTTGGTTTGTGTTTAAGTTGGTGAATGAATAGATTTTTTTTAAAGTTAAAAGTCTATCAATAAAGGCAATATTTAACAAGAGAAAGTGATATTTGCATACACATAAATACCCAAAGAAAAAACTATGAATCCATATCTTCTCCCCCCCCCCATCTTTGTCCTATAACTTTGGTTAGCAACCACTCTATCGCAGAAAGAAACGGCAAACTAGTGCAGGAAAATATTTTACCAAGTCAGTCATTAATTGAAAAAGACATGATCTGCCATGTGTGTTTCACATATGACACTTAACTGACTGAGTACAGGTTGTAACAAAAATTACAAAAATGTAAAATATTAAAGTTTTAAAAATAAATAAATGCAAAAACTAATTAAATTTTACTGTAATTTTTATAAAAATCACAACTTTTATTTTTATTTTGACATTTTGGTTAAATGATCTTGAATAAATTGATGCAAAAATGGTCTTATTAATTCATTTTCATGTTCAGAATAACTTACCAATCTTTAAGACTTGTGTTCTTCGCATTCATTTTCTATATAAAGAATATTAACGCATTCCAACTATTTACAATTACCTACCTCATGTTGTGACTAAATTTTCTGTGTTTATCATTTTTTAAATTCTACATCATATTTTTAATTTAGTTTATGAGAAACAGAAAATATAACACATAAATGTTGTTTGTTGAGGGTTCATTCATATTTTTTTACCAAAGGCTGACAGAAAAAATATAATTTTCTGACTTAAATTAGTGAAGTAAAATTACTTCTGACAATTAGATCTGAATATTTTTCACATTTAGTGACAAATGATAGAAATATTAAATTTTTTTTCTTTCTTGTTTGTGCACACATGTACTCCATTTATTAAAAGACTGCTACGATTGGTGAGAAGTGAGAATTTTTTTTATTTTAAGATATGTTGCCTTTAGAACAAATTTGAGTTAATAATTTTGTATCGTCTTGATATCGTCACAGATTGGTGTTCTGTTGTCCCTGAGATGATGTTAATCTCGGGCACTGTCCCTGAGGAAGGCCATAGAATGGATTGGCTGCAATGATATTTTAGCAACAATAACAAACCGTTCAACTAGTCTTGGAATACAAGACTTAATTTTTACAGGGCATTTGGTGGAATTTTAGAATTGGCATTACAAGCAAACCTTTTTTTTTTTTTTTAATCTTTGTTCATATCAATGTTTCTAAGCAACAGCACACCTAAAAGCAAATAAAAGTATCATGGATCACTTAGCAAAATTTTTCTAGGGTATACATTTAAATATTTTGAAATAAAACCATAGACTTTTAACAAATAAACACACAAATATGAACTTTATTTCAATGTTTCTATTCAGCTATTTTTTATCTTAATTAATAGGGAATTAATTCTAAGAAGTTAGGTTTATAATTTTTGTATATTGTTATTTGAATTTGTATGCATATTCTTACACTGATACATTTACACACATGCACACACACACACACACATATATATATATATCATAATTCTTCATTATGTTGGGGATTTTTATAGACTCAATGAATTACTTAATTATGATTATTCAAATCCCCCTAAAAATTTCTCTCTCTCTCTCTCTCTATATTATATATATATATATATATATATATATATATATATATATATATATATATATACACACATATATGTACAAATAGTTATGAACAAATACATAACAAATGTGTATCTGTGCTTTGTTACTAATATATTAAAACCAGTGTTTCTCAACCTTTTTAAGCAACAGCACACCTTGGAGCAAACTTAGCAAAATTTTTAAAGGGATTGCATTTAAATGTTATGAAATAAAACCATAGATTTAAAAAAAAAAAAAAGTACTCACAAAAATATGAACTTACTTCATTTCAATGTTTCTGTTCAACTATTTTTTATTTGATTTTGTTATCTTAATAGGGAATTAATTATAAGAAGTTAGGTTTATAATTAAATTTTTATCTATTGTTATTTGAATTTATATGCATATACATTCGCGTGCACACATACATATTCATGTATATAGATATGTAGGTTTATATATACATGCTTATATATACACATATAGGTTTAAAAGGGCACACACAAATACATATACACATGAATCTGCTTTGTTATTCAGTTTTTCTCAACCTGTACACCAAGGACCAAATAAAAATATCACAGCACACCAAGGACCAAATAAAAATAAAAACATCACAGCACCCTTAGCAAAATTGTTAAACGATATACATTTAAATGTTATGTAGTAAAACCATAGATTTAAAAAAATTTTAAATACACACCCAAATATGAACTTACATTATTTTAATGTTTCTATTCAATTATTTCTGCAGCTTATTTAATGTGAAACCTGTGCCTGTGTTTTTTTTTTGGGGGGGGGTGATATCGCACATTTGACCAAACATGGAAGATAAGCAGACCCTCATTTCTTCTTCAATTGGGTGTAGTCTTTCTTGTTTCTTATTTTTGATGTTATTTAAAAATTGGAAAATTATTAAATCAAATGCTCAATGCTGCATATCGAAAACATCAAAAAAATTAATTCATAATTCAATATAACTTTGTAAAAAAAATACTTATTCATTTGTACAAACACTAATGCTGTACCATCATGACTTCCACAAACACACACACACATTATATATATATATATATATATATATATATATATATATACAGTGTAACCTGGATATAAGAGAGTTGTTGGGACCGGAGAAGAAGTCTCTTATATCCGGGTTTGGTCTAATTTATATACATTAACACAGGCTCTAATTTGGGACCAGAGAAAATCTCTCTCTTATATCCGGGTTTCTCTTATATCCGGGTTACACTGTATATATGTATGCCGTAACAATATTTCATGGCATGTTTAAGAGGATTGCACGGTACACCAGTTCACTATCACTCTTATAGATTAAGCCTTCCAAATCGTGAATATAAAAATAAAAAAAATTATGTAAAATTTCATAAAAGTTAATAGAGGGTTCAGTTTTCTATGTAAATCTATAAATTGATTCCCTTATGGAAGCCAAAACAAAATATGCTCATATTACCTGTTTCCAAGCAGCTACAAAATAGCATTTATTTCTTTTTCAAAATTTTTGTTCATATCACTATTATTGATTATGCACTTCAGATTAAAAGTTAAAACAAAAAATCTTTTATTTTTCTAAATTTTAAGAAATCACATGGTATGAGCATATTTTGTTTTGGCTTCCATATAGTAATGGTAATATTGGCCATTTCCTTATAAGGAAACATTTGGCATTCATTTACAAAATCTTCCTCTTAAAAGATTTTTCAGGAAAATAGGAGAGCCAAGTTCCCATTCCAGTTAGGTTCGTTATATTCGCTTACATACAAATACCCTTGGGAAAGGTATGAATCCACCTCGTCTCCTCCCCCCACCATGCTATGAGTTAATTAGTAAGATTTGTATCACTAAATCATTTATTATCTCCAAGACAAATTCTTACACTCTAAAAATATTTCCTGGATTTAAATAACCTGCAAAAGGTCAATTCAGCCATAGAAATTGAAGCAATGAATCAATCGAAGCTATTTTTAACTATTGATCTGAGAAAGTAGTTCTATACAGCCGTGAGTTTAGATCAGGGGTCATCATACGTTTTTGACCAGAGACCTGCTTTTGTTTTACTTCCTCCCAGCGACCCCTATTTAAAATATCTTTGAACCTTAAAACTGGCACTGATGCTGGCAATTAAAATGTTAATTAAAATGTATGAAAAGTTAAGAAATTTGGATCAAAGGCATTATCAGGTTTAGAATTTTCCCAAAAGATATATCTAAGAAAATATATTAAATAACCCCAATGAATAATAGATAAATATATTAATAATAAATAATATATTAAGTACACCAAGCCTAAATCCAGCCAATGCTATTGAACAGAAATGCAAAACTGCTATTCAATTAATAAGGCACTGTATTTAAAGATGATGATTAAAACCAGGAGTAAATTGTCACAAATGCAAAAGAAGCTCTGAAATTAGTGCCCTATAAAAGGCACAATAATGCGGATGCTTGGAAATATGTGAAAAGAGTATGTGCTTTATACAAAAATATTGCAATATCAGAACGGGGTCCTTTTTTTGATGGATTAAAAAAGATTTTATTAGAGTAATGATTAAGTATGCTATCAGGTAGTCAATATACAAAAAAAAAAAAAAAACATATCTGTCTATATTTCTGAGATAAGGTATTATGTACACTATTTACATTATTTGGACTATTGTCCTCATTACAACGTTTTGGCCTTCTTCAAGGACACATGGCGCAGTGGATAAAGGCGTTGGTTAGATCCAGTGACAGGACCCAAAGAGTGTGAGTTCAATACCCAGTTAAGGCAGTGGAGAACTTTCATAGGGGAATTAACAGGAGATAACTGATAACTGACATCCATTAAACTTGGCACGTGGAACTAGAACAGTCTACCCCAGCGAACAAAATAAAGGGTTCAGTTCAACATTCCAAACACCTGAAGAAGGCTGGAGCATACAATGGCCAAAACGTTGTAATAGATATGGCGACAAAGATGAGGACAATAGTTCGAATAATTTAAATAGTGTAAAAAAAACATACAATAGTTAATATAAATAAATCTTAATGAGCCAGGTACCTGTCTCATTAGGATTTATTTATATTAACGAATGAGTTGCCAACCCTTGCTCTAAATCCTATATCACCCACCATTTTCTGTTCAGTTGCTCATCACCTACCCAACAATTGAAATCACCGAGGTTGGGAAAACCCTATAGTAATATAAAAAGAAAAAATTGTTTATTTGTGGTTGCAGTGCCTATTCTAAAACTCCACCAAAGATTACCATACATGATGATTACCTTCTACCCTGTGTCATGAAGGGATTTCTGCTCGTAACCTCCTTTGGCTTAAAGCTTCTATTAACAAGAAATGCTAATTAACCTAAATGTATTTTTTTCTTTCTCACAGCAACATGCTGAAAAAGTTTACGAAAGCAGAGAGGCCACCTTCACCTCCTCCAGAGCCTCTGCTAATGCCCCTTCCCCCCAAACCAATGTTAAGATTTTACCTGCTTGGCTGGGGAGTACCACTCATCATTTGCGGAATCACTGCTGCTGTTAATATGGACCATTATGCAGGAATGGAATAGTAAGGCAATATTTATTCTTTTTTATCTTGTTTTGGTTTGGTTTTGAAAGATCACTGATAAATGATTGGTTTCTTTATGTAACAAATCACAGTTTTATTCCAGACTGACTCTTGCTTCTTAGACTGACACTAAAACTCTTCATGAAAAGTGAACAACTTCACTTCATATATATGAATCATATATGCTAATAATAATGGTAAAATTATCCATTTCCTTATAAGGAAACATTTGGCTTACATTGAACAAGCCACAAGTGTTACCTGAGTTAAGTTTTACTTCACTTTCATTGTGTTTGGGTTAAGATCAAAGTGTAGTATCTGTTCTCTTCATCTCTTATGGTGATGGTAAAATTAGGTGTTTCCTTATAAAGAAATATTTGGCATACATTGAACAACTAATGCATTTCGTCCTTCAGGATTTCATCAGATTAAGTTTATACTTACGTTGATGCTACTACACATGTGTACAAATGAGCAATACTGGGAATTTTAAACTTAAAATTTTTTTTTTTTTTTACTATGTGTTTTGGATATATAATTTAGCTGATTTCATTTCTATGTTTCTATCGTGTTTGTTATTAAATATGCCACATTGTGGTAATAGAAAATCTACCATGAATGGTGAAACGTAAGAACCTGGGTGCAAATTTACTGTTGATGAACTAGGGATTAAAACACTTATGTTATAAAATACAATAAGACATATCTTGGCTGATTTACAGGCAAATACTCAAGAGCGAGAGCCGGATGTGAATGGGGCAAAGCCCCGTCACAAAATGACCATTATCTTCGTTTACAAATGTTCCTGACATACGAGTTCCGGTCGAAAAATAAAATAATAATTAAAGTGTTCTATTTTTCGTCCAATAAAAATATGCTTCCCTCCTAATTATACTCGCTTTGTTTTTCGAGCCTGTTAAGCCATAAAAAAACGCTATAAAAGGGGTCACACGGAAGTTCAACAGGCAGTCCACAGGTGCCCAGGATAGAGACCTGTCACGGTCAGCAGCTGTCAGCAGGGGAGCATCAACCACCGTCAACATGTGTGAACTACTATGAGAGATCGACCTAGATCCGAAACTGGCTTATGAACTTTACCACAAGGTAGCTGTCCCAAACCCACATGTTCCTGTTGAAATAAACCACGTAAATCTATTTCTACTGTTGTCATATTTCTTTCTTGCAACCATACGTTTGTCTATAACACTTTCTTAAAATTTTCATCCTAGTAAATTGTTTTCTCTTATAATTAGAGTAACATTTTTTAAATCAAAATTTTGGTCAGTCTCATTACAGTGAGTAACTAATGCATTTAATGTGTTGTTTTGTAATTAAATGCATTAGTTGCTCACCATAAGGATGGAAACAAAAAAAAAGAAAAAGAATCTAAGAAATTCACTAGATTATATACCCAAAACACATTTTTTTTTTTAAACAAATTTTTTATTCCCAGCATCTCATTCGTACACATGTGTAGTAGCATAAATATAAATTTAGTCCAATGAAGTTCTAAAGCACAAAACACATCACACAAAATCATTTTCCACTTTGTCATACAGCTTTCTCCTAATATATATATATATAGTAGTCGACTCTCCCGTCGAATTTGACGTATGAGGGTCAAGCAGATCAGTTCCTAGGAAACTGACAGCCCGACAACAGCACTTGAGAATTGATTATAGTGGTGAAGGTTTCATGCAGGACCATCCACACTTTTTGAAGGGCCGAATACAGAGACCTGGTGCACTATGTGCCACAAGGTCCCCAAACAACCCTTTGCAGGTTTTGAATTCAGAGTTGTCCTTCTCCTAGACCAGTTGCCATCCAAGGCTATAGAACCCAGTCTGTCCTGCTATTTTACCCATAGCTGGAGGGAGAATGAGAGGATTCATACCTTTCCCAAGGGTATTATTACGTAAGTGAATGTAATGGATTAAACTGGAATTGAAATGGTGGAATAATGGTTTTCGGATTTGGATTGAGGATATATATATATATATATATATATATATATATATATATAAAGAAAAAAAGAAAGAACAGTTAAGATATATAATCCTGTGTTCTTATGGATATTTTTTTTTTTACAAACAGTGCTCAATGTAAATTTACAGAGCATAAATATTATAAATTTACTGAGTTTTAAACCCACATATAAATTTATATGTGGGTTTAAAACTCAGTAAATTTAAAAATAAGTTATTCCAATATTCACTTGAAGATGAAATGGAACTAATGCTTTTAATTTAATTATATAATTAAATTTATATTACTGTGTAGCAGAAAAAAACATATTTTAAATCAGTTAATTTATAATATATATATATATATATATATATATCCACATATGAAATCATTGTTTACATTCTCTTTGGTAGACTCCTGCTGATATAAAATTAACTGTTTGTTGCCATACTCACAAAGTTTCAGCCATTATACACTAGTCAAGGATACATGGCCCAGTGGATAAAAGAGCCAGTGACTCGACCCAAACTGAGGTGAACAAAAAACTTGAAGAGTTAAGTTAAAGGGAGATAACTGATACTGAGATATCTGGAAGAACAATCTACCTCAGTGAATGAAATAAAGGGTTCAGCTCAAAATTCCAATCATCTGAAGAAGGCCAGAGCTTATAATGGCCAAAACGTTTTCAATATGGCAACAAAGATGAGGACAACAGTCCAAACAACGTAAATACTGTAAATAGTTAAAATACCTCATCTCAGAAATATAGACAGATCCTGAAGAAGACAGAGCGTACAATGGCCGATACGTTGTGAATATGGCAGCAAAGATGAGGACAACAGTCCAAACAATGTAAATAGTGTAAATAAAATTAACTGTTTTGCATTAATTAAATTTTACCTGTTTTTGAAGTGCTTGTCTTAATTTTTACATTAGATGAATTTCTTTCTATTTTCATTAGCAATGGAGTTTGTAGATAATATAAGGTGCCTAGTTTTTTTTTGTTGTTTGTATGTGTGGGTGGTGGAATGGATAGTGGCTCAGGATCAGAGAGCTGAGTTCTGATTCCAGTTGGGTTCATTACATTCACTTATGCACAAGGAAAAGGTATAAATCATTCTCTTCTCAGTCGGAATTGTGTCTGTAAAAATCATTATCATCTCCAAAAACACTCACAAAAAATAGGATTATTCTTACGATGCAAAATATTTTTCAGCTTTAAATAACCCACAAAGGGTTGATAAGCCGTAAAAAAACAAGTCAATAAATAACAAGGGCTTATGGCCATATCACATTAAAACACCAGTTCTTTCTCATCCAATCACTAAAGTTAATCATCCTTGAGACTGGTCATTAGTAGATGGGTGACCACTTGGGAATACCAGATGCTATAAACTTGGATGTGTGGATGGCGTAATCAAAAATGTTTCAATATTGGAATTTGGAGAGCAGAGTTCCAATTTGTCTTTCAGGTTTTTTTTTTTTTTTTATATTCACTTGCACATTATTGCAATGAATAATGAGTTGCATAATGGACCTGTGCATGAGGATTTTATCGTGGGAAGATCATTGCATGGCATCCAGTGGCACAGAGAGCCGTTACAACGGAGACTGCCAGGCTGCAGTGGATGACCAGAACTTCTTTAGGTGTCACGTCCATGCTCTAGGGCACTCCACAGCACTTTCTGCCACCACTTTCACAACCGTTGGATCCACAATTGATCTCTTCTGCTTGTTTTATCGGGAATCAGTCTTCGCATGCAGTAGGGCTGATACGGCCCAAGCCTAACTCACCAGGGGTTGCAAACTATCCCCACCTGTTTTGGCCGGCCTGCCAAAGCTGTTGCCTGGGTGTGGCCACTGTTGCATGCAACAGCTTCTAGGAGCCACAGGTGAGAGCTGGGTGACAGGTGAAGACCAGTAGCAGATGAGCTGCCCTGAAAAGGACATGGCAAACACCCCCTGCTAAAGGTGCTACCTCTCCCTGACACCCCATAACCCCCACACACACACACACATAAACACTCTTCAAGAAAATTGCCCATCTACTTCTCCTACCAACTATGAGTTAACCTTTAGCCCCCCCGCATTATTAATATTACTTTCCTTTCCACTGCATTCTTTTTTAAGGCCTCTCAATTGCAGTAACCTTATTGCTAATTTCACTCAAAGGTGTATTCTGTTACCATAGCAGGATATGACAACACAACTATGAAATTCAAATTCAGGGATCAGGATAAACTTCTTGTACAGCAAATGAAGTTACATACAGAGTGATAAAGGTTAATTCGTAAAACCTGTATCAGTAAATACAATATACAGTAGAACTCTCCAAATCTAGACATCCTCGAATTAGGACTCATCTTCAAATCCGAACTTTTGTATTGACATAAATATGAAGCTTTTTCTTCCTCAAATCAGAACAGTACCCTCAATACCAAACATCTCGGATGTTCAGTTTAGAGGAGTTGTACTATATATCCTTATTTTTGACATACTTTAACTATTTTTGAATAAGGTATTTCATAAATTTTGTAAGCATAAATTGTCTTAGTTTTTCACAAATTACAATATTTCTTTAGCACAATTTTTTCATTATTATTTTTTGCACATTTATGTATTCAATCTATTCTTTAAATAAAACTGAATCAACATTACAAACTACCTTTTTTATCCTAAACTCTAAAACTTAATAAAAATTTTAAGCTTGCTACAGCAGCCTTTTATCCTCAAATAAGCACATTGTTGGTAAAAACAAAAAAGACAAAGATACTACTTTAAGTAAATCATGGAATAATGATGATAATAATAATAATAATAATAATAATAATATTGATCTCAGCCAAAACATTGTGTTAAAAACAACAATTATAAAGATAGTAGTCCAAGTGAATCTTGAAATAATGACAATGTTTCCCTGTAGAACCAAATATTAACACAACCAATATTTGCATATAGAACAAAGTATAAGCCCAACCAATATTTGCATATACAGGGTGCAATGGATAAATTGTCATTTAAATTATGCAAAATGAAAATAACATTGACATCTCATTTTAACAGATATATTTATAAAAAATGACACAAAACTACAGTAGAATCTCCAAATCTGAAAAAAACATAATCTAGACTTCCTTGAATTTGGACCCCATTTTTAAATCTAAACATTTATACTGACAAAATGAAATTATTAAAAAGAAACTGTACAATTGTAAAAGACTCAGAAAAATTTTTTTTTTTTTTTTTTTTTTTTTAAGCATTTCACCTAAGCAAGGTGGGGAAGCCACTAGGACACAAGGGGTTACAGAAAATTTAGAGCAAGATCAGATAGGAGTGATAGAAGAAAGGATGAGGGTAGTGGATAGATCAAGGCAATTGAAATTACTCATGTTGAATGCGCCATAGAAACAACTATCATGAATGCAAATGAAGAACACTGCATAATTCAGAAAGATCTGATAATGGACGAATGATAAATTTATAATTTAAATTTAAACATTTCAGAAAGTGTCTTAATTTTTACAATATTTGTTTTAGCACAAATTTTTCCTTACTATTAGTTATTTAATTTTTTTTTGTATATTTATGTGTTTTTTCTACACTTTAAATAAAAAAACGAATCAACATTGCAAACTACCTTTTTGTATACTAAACTCTAAAACTTAATAAAATTTTAAACTTGCTCCCTTTTTTTCTTCCTTGAATCCGAACAGTACCTTCAATGCCGAACATCTCGGATATTCGGTTTAGAGTTCTACTGTAATTGTTATCTCCAAAAATTCTTACAATCTAAAAATATTTTCCGTCTTTAAATAACATGCAAAAGGTTGATAAACCATAAAAAACCAAGTCAGCCAATAAAAAATAAAATTTAAATTTTTCTGCAAATTTATAACTATTTTTCCTTTTTTGTTAATCATTTCAGTTGCTACTTGTCCTGGGATCCAGGCCTTGGAGCCTTCTATGGGCCAGTCGCCCTCCTCGTTGGGATCAATCTCATCTACTTCTTACGAATCTCATGTGTCATCCGAGGCTCTACAGCCAACCCGAGTTATTCTGAGGAAACAGAAGAATTGCATGTGAATGAGATTGAACTTTCACCAAACCAGGACCACCACCATCACCATCATCATCACCATCATCATCATCAGCACCACAATCCCCACCATCCAGGTTCCGGCCCAGTACCTGGCATCCAGGCTGCGCACACGCATCACCGTGGCACAGGTGGTGGCGGTAGTACAGTAAGCGGAGGACACCACCAACCAGACAACCGTTCGATCCATTCTGATGATAGCAATATCTCAAGCGCCTCCAGCATTTTGGATGAGGAAAGACGTCCAATCACACAGCTACGAGCGTTGGTCACGTTCCTCTTTCTGTTTATCGTCACCTGGGTTTGTGCAGCCATTGCTATTGCCCAACCCCTCAGGTCGATCATTCCCAAACAGGGACTCATTTTCAGTTATTTATATGGGGTGGCCAGCATTGTTCTCGGTGGCTTTCTAGTCGGCTTTTTCTGCCTCCTGCGTGACGACTCACGCGCATGTTGGCGACGTTTCTTCTGCTGTGAGAAAGTGGAAGACGTGTTTCAGGTTGCACCGACCAACCTGAACCATATGACTCACATCAACGGGCACGTGCGGTCGGGAAGTAGTGTCGACGGAGAATCACTGACAGGCAAGGTTTATAACATTGAGAGACAGAATAAGACAAAGGCTGTCGATCACCCAGTGAAACAGTCAAATCTGATCCCAATCCAGCCACCCTCATTTACCGACGGTTCTATCAGCAGCGCACACGAAACAAACTATCCAAACTTTTATAACCCACGTCAAAATGGGGTGGCAAAAAAATTCTGGGAAAAAAACCGACATAACCACCTAAAATTGATTAACAAGGAGATCAATAAAGAGGTAAACGATTTCAATTCTGTGAATCTTGATGATCCAACTAAGCGCTATAGCCACTGTACAAGTTCCGATGGAAACACTCATTGGAGCATCGAGATACAAATTCAAGCCAATCCAGAATCCGGGAAGGATGGTAACATTGGTGGACGACAGCAGGGACAGTCCAAGGATCTTGAAAAGACCCCGAACGAGCTCCCTCTGAATGTCCAGAATCCATTATCAACACCACAACCCGTAATGTTTCCTGCATTGCCCTTTGACAGAAACAAAGTCCCACCCGTGGGGGGACCAACATCCCCTGAGACAATCACTGCCAGTCCGTCTTGCAGTTTCATCTCACCGTCTGGCTCCCAGACTCTGCCCCACTGTCATTCACCCGGTGCATCTTCACTGGGGTCATACCAACATTTAAGTGCATTTACCCCTGTGCAGCCAAAACGATGCAACACATTGCCAAAAATAGGTAAACAAGATAATGCCTCAAGTTTACCAAATGAGTATATGTTACGAGATGGTTCTGTTCCACGATTAAGGGACTTTGATGGTCAGAGTGAGACCAGTGCTGACAAAAGTGCTATTATGGGCTGTGCAGAAAATCATGTCCTCCAAGGTTACCTCCCCCCGGAGCCCGTGGGAGGCAGTGCTTACCCAGGTGGAGCCAATAACAACAACAACAACAACAATAATAATAATAATAACAACAACAATAAGGATTCAAATATGATGGGCCCTGTTTCAGGGCAGACCTTAGTGAATAATACCCAAGATGCAACAGGTGATAAAAATAACCAAACAGCCCCTTATGGACCACACACTCACCCTGACAATAATAAAATATCTTTAACTAGTATTGGAAGCAAGGAAGACCTGGCCGATGTTGACAGCCAACAACACCACCATCATCACCATCATCATCACCACCACCACCACCATCACAATCAGCAACAATCCCCACCACCCACACATTCTCACACAAATAACCCCAGTACACCACACCCATTGCCAGCACCACTAAACAACCATGCCAGTAATCCCTGCAAATATGAATCAGACGATACTAATGGTGGCCCTGGCGGGAGAGGAGGTGGAGGGAGCTGCCAGGGTGGAACTCAGCTGAGCGAGACTCGCCAGTACATGTTCCACGAATCAGATAACCAAATATTATGTGCCAAACACTCGTCTACGACGACGGGCCCGTCTTCGACAGCAAAGAGCCACGACTCTGACCACCACTCGGATCCAACTCATCACCGACGCCATCGGACCTCGCATGGCAGCAGACACACGCGCCTTTCGAAGCAGCACTCTCTCGGCTGGGAGGAGCAGTTCAAAGACCGGCCCCCTAAGGTGCCGTATGCTTATGTGAACCATTCCTACCAGGAGAAAGTTATACAAAAGTTGTTGAAAAAGTGTCAAGAGCAGGGTGGTGAGCTTGGACCTGTTATTGAGGGCAGTGACAGCTCGACAGGATCAAACCTCTATTGGTTTCCACGCTCGTTCAGCTCATATGAACAAAACAGCAACACACGTGGGAGAAAGGTGGAAAAAATGACAGAAGATGGCAATTCCGGGTCGGAGTCAAGTTCCGATTCAGAGAGTTTAGATATCTGGTTACCACAAGGAGAGGGTCTGTCAAGCAAATTTAAAAAAGAGACAAGTGTATAATAATAATAATAATAATAATGCTGGCAAAAATATTATTTAAAAAAAAAATAGAAAATGTGGGGGAGGTCAGGGTTGTATATTATGTCAAACAAAAACAATTATTATATAAATGTTGGCGATGTTTAACCTTTGTGCCTGCAAAAAATTGGTATGTCAAATGGACAGTTTTTCCATTGACACTGCTATTATTTTAACTACCTTCACTCCTCGACAATGTCTGTTGTTTTAATAAGTGAGAATTAAAATTGAAATGAAACCTAAATATATGAACATGAATTTATAAAAAAATATATATAAAGAAATATATAAATTTATATAAAATGTTAAATAATAAGGATTTACTTATAATTGGTTCACATATTTTTATAATTTACTAAATGTTTATAAATTTATGAATAAAAAATGGTTTTCATATTTATTTCTTTATAAATTGGTAAATGATAAATATTGCATTGTGTTAGTTTTTAGATTGCTGTAAATATAAAATTATTCCTGTCAGTCAACAATCTAATAGTGTTTATTATTTTCGTTGTCAAATCTCAAGAACAAAGAAAATGTATAAATTAACTATCATATGTTTAGATTTTATTAAAATTCTAAACATTGCTTTTTAGAACAATAAACATCACCAAGGGCTGAACGTAGTAAAAATAATAGTGGTGTCAAGGGAAAAAACGCCCTTCTGACACACTAGTTTTTTGCAGGCATGAAAATTAAAAATTGCCTGAATGTTTTTGTTTATTGTTTTTTTTTAAGCAAAATTGGTAATCTTCCCTTTTCAACTGAACGTTTTGTTTTATATATAAACAAACATTTATTTGAAAAAAAAAAAATTGCGTAAGTAATTTCAAAGACAAATTATCTATCTCTGCCCGTATTGGTTGAAATATCTGTTGTTCCCTGTGAGTATATATATATTTTGTGAAAGATACTTTTTTTTTTTTTTTTTTTTTTTTTTTCTTAAATAGTAAAACAATTTGAAAATAAAGTGTTGGTATTCATGAAATTGGTGACATTTCCCAACGTTTTAAAAGTAATTTAAACTCTAATTGACTAATTATCACCTCACTTCATTAGAAACAAAATTTTTAATGGTATGTAACTTAGTATTTTGTGCTTTTGGTAAGTACACCAGAGAATGGAATTAAATCCAAAAATACTATTTACAATTTAATGTTAGTTATCTGCAAAAGGAAGCTGGACAAGGTTCTGGACGTAGAAAGTATATCTCATCAAAATCAAACTGTTAATTAATTTTTTTTTTCTTTTTTGATTAGATTATTTTTCATCTTTGTTGCTGGCTTTTTTTTTTTTTTATCACAACACTTTAACGCCTTCCCTGGCATAGACATGTATATACGTCTTTACTGAAAGTGTGTTTTTCAGTCATGGACAAATAAACATATAAGAAATAACATTCAAAAATTGGCTACAGATGTGTTTATACACTGACCTTGATTCTTTTTATGCCCTTCTGAGCCTGAAATGAGTCCAGTTGTCAACTCATATGTCAGGTAGAGGTGTTAGCCACAACTCGGGTACTTCAAGGTACCTCAGTTTCTTAATTATTATATTAAAAATAAATAAAAAAATTTGTCTGAAAATGAAACATTTTTTCCAAAATAATTGGCGGGGAAAGGGTTAAAAAGCAATAAAAATAAGATGTAAAAAAACTAGTAAAAAAAATTAATAAGTAAAATACTCTTTTTATGAATTCGGATGATTTAAGATTAATTCTATATAATATGTCAAGAAACACCGTACAATCACTGAAGTTAAGCAACGTCAAGTCTGGCCATTCCTGCTTGGGGAATACCAGGTGCTGTAAGCAGGGATGTGCAGGTGGTGTAATGGATAATGGCTTGGAATTGTTAATCAGAGCTGAGTTCCATTTCCAATTGGGTCTGTTGTATTCACTTAAACTCAAATACTCTTGGGAAAGGTATGATGCCACTACTTCTCCTAGCTATGGGTTAATTAGTAAAATTTGTATCATTATTATCTAAAAATATTTTCTGTCTTTGAATAAACTAAAAAAACGTTGATAAATGAAAACTGTTCAAAAGTTAATACTTTGTCTATGAATTCTGTTCATTTAACGTTGACATCTGTTTATCTTGTGAGATAAAGTTAGTGGCCTGTTTGGTCAAAGTTTACTTCTTTGGTGGGGGAGGGGGAGACTGGAATGATGTTTCCAGGATGCAGACTGAGGTGATGGTATATGGAAGCACAAAATTTTCAAACTGCATGCCTCTTTGATAGCACCTCCAGCTAATGCCAACAAAAAAAAAAGGAATACAGAGCATTACATTACATTGTGCGGTCGGCATGGCTGCTGGAGATGTTGTCAGTGTTGACAGCCAAAAACAATTCAGTCTTATTTATTAAATCTCTAGCCCTCCAATTTTTTTTTGGGTTTTTTGTAAATTTACTTCATACCTTTTCCGTGTCTGGATATGACCACAAGGCAGCAGAGCTTTAAAATCAGGATTTTCCTATCCACTAGATCAGTGTTTCTCAACTTTTTTAAGCAACAGCACACCTAGGAGCAAATGAAAATATCATAGCAAACTAAGCAAAATTTTTAAAGGGATTGCATTTAAATGTTATGAAATAAAACCATAGATCTAAAAATAATACAAACACAAATATGAACTTACTTTATTTTACTGTTTCTAGTCAAATAGATAGATATGAAAAGACTGAAAAAAAGAACATGACTGAGACAGACTGAAAGATAGATAGATATTTAGAGGGATAGATAGATGATATGAATTTTTTGTAAATAGAAGATATCACCATAAATTAAAAACTGAAACAAAAACTGAAATGAACTATGGACAGACTGATAGATAACTGATATGAACAGACTGAAGATAGATAGATAGATATGAACAGACTGAATAGATCAATGATTTGAACAGACTGAGATTGATAGATGATAAATAGATGATAAAATGAACAGACTGTTATAGATCTGATTTGATAAGACTAAGATAATGTAAGATCCATCAAACATTAGATTTTAAATAAATGTAAAACATGAGATAGAAGATATTGAACAGACTGAGATAGATAGATAGATAGATATGAACAGACTGAGATAGATAAATAGGAATGGATTAAAGACTGAGATAGATAGATAATGATAAAATAATATGAAAAGACTGAAAAAGATAAATAATTTTTAAATTAAAAACCCAAAGAAATAACAAAATGGAAACAGACTATTAGATAGATAGATAGATGGATATGAAATATGATCAATTTCTAATTCCAGTCGAGTTCATTAATTTTAAATTAAGTGCTATTTACCTGTGGGAAGGGTATGAATCCAAATCCTTTTCAATGAATCAAGACAGAGAAGGTTATTTAGACTTTGGGTGGGCAACCATCTAGAACAGTTTTTGAATAAATTTTTTTGAAGCAATTACACCTTGGAGCAAATGAAAATATCACAACACACTTAGCAACAGTTTTAAAGGGTATACATTTAAATGTTATGAAATAAAACCATAAATTTAAAACTAATACAAACACAAATATGAACTTATTTAGTGTGAAACTGGTGTTTGGTGTTTTGTTCACTATTTCTTCAATCTTTGGTCATAATATAAATCAGCAGACCCCTCAGAATCATCTTCAGATTCATCAGTCTTTCTTGCTTCTTGTTTTTGATTTTATTTAGAGTTGAGAATCCTAATTCACATAAATAAGAAAATTGCAATAAAACTGTTAAAGCCTAATGTAGGATATTTCTTTTTGTTTTGAAATCCAAAATATATCAATGGATCCTGTCGAATGTTTCATTCTAAGCTGTCGATCACTAGAAACAGTCGCCAATTCTTCTTCGCATAACTGAAGTCCAATAATAGAAGAAGCATTTATAAAGGGATTTCGAATCCAATTATCCTTTTCTGTACTCAGTGATGGAAAACAATACATATATATGTATGCTGTGACAATATTGGGTTCTTTATTCACACTTAAAAACTGAGCAATTGAAAATCACTGCACTAAATAAAAGAGAAAGTTGTGACAATACCAAATCAGTTCATTTAAGTTTTGCTATTGCTGATAGAAAAAAAAAAGATGAATGAAAAAATTGTCAAAAATTAATAAAGAAATTCTTTGAAGAATCCAAGACTTACTAAATATGAAAACAATAAAAATTTAGTCTTTGACAGTATATCATCTTTATGTATAGACAAAACTTAGATACATATTACTTTCAGAGAAAAAAAATCTATTCAGATTTTAAAATAACTGAAAATGTTTGGACATTTGAATAAACACTCAAAAGAAATCTAGTTTAGTTGATAATTGACTGTTATCTCTTTGTTTTGTCTTATTCCATACCTGCCAAATTTTAAACTCATTTTTGCCCCCAAAATTTAACTCCATAGAAATAGAATCCAAAGTCTTTGTAAAATATTATATTTTTGTCCCAGAACAATAAAATCATGCAACTTGGATGCTAAATTGGTTAATAAGAATGGGAAAGTGATTTATTGGAATTGAAACTAAATTTTTGAGCCATATCCAGATGTTTTAGAACAGAACCACAAAATAGGAAAAAAATTTATAATTGGGAAAATATTAAGGAAAAACAAAATAAAAGAAAGATTTTAAAAAATTAAAAAGTCATTAAATTACACATAAAACAAAATACCTTCTTATTTAGCTGAAAATATTAAGTGAAAGTTGGTTTATATAGATATATATATATATATATATATATATATATATATATATGTATATGAAATATAGTTTTAAGGTATGCTATATTTATGGGATAATGTGCTCAATATTAGAATAGATATATGTAAATATAAAGTGAACAAAAAAAATCAACAACTTTCAGAGGCGATAAATTGTTTCATGCTAAATACAAGGCCTGATGATTTATAAATTATATAAAAAAACAGCCTCTAGAACAGAATGTTAGTTAGTATTTTCCTCAAAGTAGCATTCATGGGTTCCATTTTTTTTTTGCAGTC